CCCAGGTCTGCAAGGTTCCCTTGGACGAAGCAACCCATGGCTGCCGACAAGGATCCTTCTATTAGGTTGGGTCGACTACCTCCTCTGACTAAGTAGACCAGGGACCACGATTGCCCAGAACGACGGAACCATGGGATCTTGATCGGGCCCATCATCCATTCCTCCACCATCCGCTTTAAGTGCTATGTGGTGAAATTTCCTATTTTAAATATCAAACTTTTTCAAATCTTCCCAAATTCTAAATCCATACCCAATGCTGCTACTATATGCCAGATAACATGTATATTCTACGTATCTGATTGACGACTAGCCTTAATCGAAAGTTCTCTCTCATGATTGGGAGGGGAAATTAACTATAGGGGCTTGCGACTATAGGAAACCAGAACTCAGATCATAAAGTCATCAAAAAATGAGGGCGAAATCTCTGGGTAGTGTCTTATGTACAAACCCATATGCCTTCCAAAATTTACCCCGGAACTTATTCAGTTAAAACTCCCTCGCCGAATAAAAAGAAAAACGGGCGGGGAGGCCGGGGCCGAATTTTCGGAGCCCACACTTCTCTAGCTTGCTTCTAAGTAGCAGTATAGATCTACTTGCCCATCTCATTGATTAGGATGTTTTCTTACTCAACAGTTCAATGGTTTAGCTATTTTCTTTTGTTAAAAAGTATGGCTGAGTAAGTTTAAATCAAATAATAGTCAATATTCCACCATATATTAAGCTTTGAGTAAGCTCTGGTGGAATGATTTAAACTTACTCAGCTATCCCTTTTTAAGCAGTATTAGACTGAGTAAGTTTGCATCTATTAAGTTAGCATTACGCATGGACTCATTTGCTATGGCTGTAATTTACTTGGATCAATTTTGTTGAGTTTTTTTGTGGAGTTTCCTGATTGGTTTTCATTTGGGTTCACATAACTGCTGATGATATTAACAATAGAATTTTAAGATTTAAGGTTCTTGATTACTTTAAATCTAAATCTTCTATATATATCCAATGTGATGAGTTAGTGTAGTGTTAGAAAACCTACAAAGAACGGTATCAATCCCTAATTCCCTTTAGGGAAAGGTATATAAATGATGGCACTATAGCCTGGTAGTTGATTTGAGAATTGGAAGAAAGAAATATTGATCGTCTATTTTTAGATACTAATTGATGCAAATTTTTATGTTTGATTTTGGCATGTTAGTTCTCGTGGCTTTTTAGTATTTTTACATGACAACGAATTTTGCATGACAACTATTATGAAACACTGGATGTAATTTGATCACAAAACTATTCTACCCTTTAACAACGGTTTTAACCCATGCTAAAATTGTTGCTAAAGCCTTCATACAGTAGCACT